AAAAAAAAAAAAAAAAAGAAAAAATCATTGTAAGGAAAATGGGAAGGGCCAGCAGGTAGTGTGGTGGTTAAGATGCTGGACACTCCCATATGGCCAACACGGTTCAAGTCCTGGACCTGGTCTTGCTTTCTCACTTTCCCTCTTTCTCTCTCTGGTCAAATTAAAATAGATGAATGAATAAATTAAAAAATATTTTTAAAAGGGACAAAAAGCTACAGAGGAGAAATCATACTTACTCTTGTTATCTAGAAAAAGCCCAGCTAATATTTTGATGTTTTTTCTGGGAAATCATATCTTTATATTTTATTGATTGATTGATTGATTGATTTATTAACAACCCCCTGCACTTGCTGTTTTGTCACCTTTTTCCCCTCTCCCCCACCAGCTGCAGTTACATATCTTCAACATCTTTCCAGGCCATTAAATATTCTTCTACCAAGAAATGGCAATGGCTGCCTAGCATGCTGTAAACAAACCATTGTTTATTCAGGCTATCGATTGCTGGACATTCTGTACCTCATTCTTGACCTTGTTTGAATCCTGGCTGTGCCCTTCACAGCGATGAGATAATGAGAAAGTCACTTCCGCTCTGGGAGCCTCGGTTTGCTATCTGTCCTTCCGGCAGTCTGATGCCTCAATGCCCTTGGGCATTGTTTTGAAGATCCCAGGTTGGTGCACGAAGTTGCATGTGGTGGCACAGTGCTTGGGCACGTCCCCCGAGTGTTCACCAGTGTGAATCCTCACTGCTCCTTCTTCCTCTACATCAGGTGTTCCTGGTTCCTCGGGGCCGCCTGAAAGACCGCCCCTGCTTCTTGCTTCTTGCCCTAATCAGTATGCAGATCTCTCTCTTGAGTCCTGGCTGCAGAGTAGGACTGACAGCTCGTCCTGGCTCTCGCTTGGGAACTAGCACCCAGTGGAGACTGGACTAAGATGTCCAGGCCAGTGTCTTCTGTGGCTAAGTTTGGATTTCAGATCAGTTCTCTTAGGGCAGAGCCTTCCAGAATTCCCAAGATGTGGATTTCCTGAGCCAGCCGGAATGGCTGCACGCCCACCTTTCCCAAGGTGAGTGTGAAGGTCTGCTTAGGTTCCTGGGCACATGCTGAGCTGTGTGGGGAGGTGTGACCACCCCCCCCCCTTTCCCATCAGTGGTCATGGTCTGGGGACCTCGCATGCCCACCATGGGCTGTCCCTGAGTGGTCTGACCAGCTCTGGGAGCTGTTTCCCAGCCAGCACCGCCCACCCGCCAGCCACTGTGATTCAACAAGGTACACGTTTCTTCTGCAAGAGAAATGCCCAGGCCACGCCCCTGGTTAGGAAAGAGGCTCTTAGCTGACCGTGTGCTCTTGACTGGAATGCGGACCTTAGGTAACCCCAAGTGGAAAGCACATGTCGAGGCATTCCCCTCGCCCCCGTGCGCACGCACACACACGCACATTTCCTCACACGCCTTCCCACGCTCGCTTACAGTCAAACGCGCCCACACTCACTCACGCATCATCTTGCATGTATGCGTGCGCACGGCCCCCTGTGCGTGTGCCAGACAGTTAAAACCCCTGTGTTTTTGGACATGATGTTCTGGGGAAAAAGGAAGGAGACTATGGATGATCTGAGAGACCCCAGATGCCAGACAGCAGTACATCTTCCCTAATTATCCTTCTAGAAGGCAGCGTGCTTTCTTTAAAAAAACAAAACAAAAAAACCAATTTTGCCAGAGGGCGTGTGTGCTTGCCAGAGAAAGACAGAGAGAGTGAGGGTGAGAAAGTGCCCCCACCCCCATGGAGGGTCAGTCACTCCATACTCCTCTCTTCTCCCTTTGAGATTTTGGGCACTCATGCACACAAGTGCCTGGAATGTTTTCCAAGCTGACCGGTCTGGGATTTGAACTGTGTACTTGGCTATGTGGAATCCAGCTGCCTTAACCACCATAACACCAGCTGTCCCCCTCTTTTTTTTTTATTATTATTTCTTTTATTTTTATTTTTTGTTTATTTTAATTTGAGCAAAGAGGGACAGAGTGAAAGAGAGAGAGAGGGAAAGTGAGAAAGCAGGCCACCTGGTCTGGAACTCAAACCATGGTCAGCCACGTGGGAGTGTCCAGCGTCTTAACCACCACACCACCTGCTGGTCCCCCCCTCCCTTTCTTTTTCTAAATAAAGCTTATTTATTTATTACTTCCATGAGACAGAGAGAGAAACAAGCTCCTAACAGGGTCTTCACACCATGACCCACCCCCCCATTCTCAGTTAACCTAGATCAAATGCACGTGTGTCAGGGATGCTCAAGCGAGTCCCGGGAACTGAACCAAAGACCTTCCCATGTAGGTCCAATTGCATTACCACTGCACACTACCTGGCCCCCATAGGTCAACTTTCAATTTTCTGTACCCCTTGAGGGGTGAGGGAGAGGGGCACCTATTTTTCACCTATTATAAAAAAAATTAAAATACAAATGGGGCCAGCTGGTGGCACAGTGGTTAAAGCACTAGATTCCATGTGACTGACAATGTGGTTTGAGTCCCAGACCTTGAAAAACATTCCAGGAGCGTGTGCGTGCATGCTCAAAATCCCGAGAAGAGAATGGAGGAGAAGGGACTGTGGCATGGCCATTCCCCTGGGGAGGGGAGGATTTCTCACTTTCCCTCTCTCCCTCTCTCTCTCTGTCTTTCTCTGGCAAGTGCAAGAACAAAAAAAAAAAAAAAAAAAAGTTTGGGGATAGAAGACTTTGTCCTGCCTGTCTTATGGAGCAAGGAAAGCATTGGAGGGTGGGAGGCTCCTGTCAAGGCAAGCACTATGCTCTGGAATGGCCCCTCTGCCGCCCCCTGCTTACCCTTGCAGGCTGTGGTCATGGACTGGGCTCTGCCCCTTGGCGACCTGTCCTGGGCTGCTGCCAGACCAGGTCTTCTGACTCAGCTTTTCTGGTTCTTCTGAACATTTTTACCTGCTTCTCCCTCTCCTAGCAGACCAGGGCTTCCCAGCCTGAGGTGACTGGTCTCCCAAGGACATGCGGTGATGCCTGCAGGTGTTTTTGATTGATGCAAATGGAGGGGTTGCCCCTGACATCTGGTTGGTAGAAGTCAGGGATGGTCAACATCCCGCAATGCCCAGGATGGGACCCTCCCGCGACCAAGACTTCGCTGGCACCAAATGCCATTAGGGCTGGGGCTGGAAACCCTGCTGTTGTGTATTAGTTCCAGCTACTATGACTGCAGTTCTTCTAATAGCATCCCTCCCATTCCCAGTGTAGGAATTCCAACCCATCCTCGGCTGGGAAACCAGTTAATCGAGCTCTACGACTGGTTCTAAGGTAAGAGTGAAGGGGCAGAAGCCAGCCCTGGGACTACTCTGATGAGTCGAGTGTCTGTACTTTGTGATCCTGGCTTAGGTGTGGCTGGGCTCAGGAGCTGGACTCAGGATTCAGTGGCTCCCACAAGGTTGGAGGTGCCCGTGGCAGGGATCCTGGGCCAAGAGGGTTTTCCGTACACAGAACAGGCCCTGCCCTCAGGTGTTAATCAAGGCTCCCTGGTGCCGGAAGGACAGCTTCTTTCCACCTGGTTGGACCCTGGCCTGCTTCTGTGGTTTGTACCTTTTCTATTTGGCTATTGGATTTTGGCATCTTAGGCGTTCACTCCTTGGGGTCCCAATCCCTGGCTTGCCCTGCACTTCTCTCCACCCCATGATTCGGCTTTGATGCTCCATCTTGTACGCTGGCCTCACCCTTCAGCCAGCCAACCAGACCAATAGGCCTATTTCCTCTCGGGTTTCCATGGTGCACAGCAAGGGCAGGGGGTCACGCCTGAGCTCTGGCAAGTGAGGCTTTACCGTATTTGGTTTGGGTATGCACCATCTATATGATGTGCCAGCACTCCGTCCTTGGCTGTTCTTCACTTGCTCATTCCAAATTTTTCAGGACTTCTTCGGTTGTGAGTGATAGAAATCAACTCTGGCTGGGCTAAGCAAAACCAGGAAATGTACTGGAAAGACCCCAGAGGTAGCTCAAGAATTCCAGGGCAGAGGTGCCGCTGGGTCTCAGGGATGGCCTAACACCAGGGACTGGACACTGTGGAGGACAGAAAGTCCCCCTTCCCCTCTCTGCCCTCTGCTTCCTGCCTGTACTTCCTGGGATATGAAGAACGTGGGATAGGAAATACCCAGCGAAAACAACAGCAGTTGGGGTGACATGTCTTCCATTCAAGGGAGAAACCAGCCCAGGCTGGAAACTCCTGGTCCTGATTCAAGATTCCTGGGAAAGTACTTCAATTGTAGGAATGCAAACAAAATGCTAGATATCCATGGCAACATTATATTGATGGTGAGGTGGGGGCGCATTGGAAGAAAGCTTGTCAAAGCTGCAGAGAAAGCGCTCTTGTTCTGAGCAATGAGCTATGAACAGCTAGGCTGGTTGAAATGAAGTCAGAGACAGTAGCTCAGGTCTAAGAGGAGGAGGGTCCAGCTTAATTCTTTTTTTAAAAAATTATTTATTTAATTTTATTTATTCATTCATTCCTTTTATTTTAATTTGTCCAGAGAGAGACACACACACACACACACACAGAAAGAGAGAAAGTAGAAAGCAAGCTGCCAGGTCCAGGATTCAAACCGTGGTTGGCCACGTGGGAGTGTTCAGTACTTTAACCACCACACCACCTGCTGGTCTCAAGGCCCAGCTTAGTTCTACTCAACCTAACCCACTTGTAGGAGAAACTGCTATAGCTCCAGCCCCCACAGAGCTTCCCTTTAATGGGGTGTTCAGCAGATAGACTGAAAACCACAGCACTGCGTTGGGCTAGAATGGTGTCATGGACAGTCTTCTGTGAGTACCAAGCCGACGGGATAGTTAGCTCTGCCAGGTCAGTTTAGCTCTAAAAAAACTGTTCAAGGGAAGTGATGTGAGCTGCGCCTTGAAGGACAGAGGAACCACCTGGGCGGCGACCGGGTAGAGGACATACCCAGAGCTCGTGGTGAGCCTCTAGTGTTGATGGTGCCAATTGCAGCGTCCTTGGAAGGATTTCTTCCTCCCCTTTTCTCACAGTCCCGTCTCTTTCAGCCCATTTTAGTTTCCTGTGGCTGCTGTGACAAATTACCATAACTTAGTGACTAAAACAACATAAATTTATTCTCTTACAGTTCTTTTTTAAAAAAACGTTTTAGTTGCCAGAGAGTATGTGCACTCACCAGAGAGAGGCTGAGAGAGAGAGAGAGAGAGAGAGCGAGAACCCTCTGCAGTGGCAAGATCACTTCTCAAGCCTTTCCCGACTTCCTCATTTTGTCAGGATCTTAGGCACATACATACGTGCACCCGCCATGTCTTTCAAGCCACTGGGGCCAAAATTTGACCAGAGAGAGACATGGAGAAAGAGAGGAAAGTGAGAAAGAAAGCCACCAGGTCCAGGATTTGAACCATGGTTGGCTATATGGGAGTGTCCAGTGTCTTAAGCACCATGCCACCTGCTGGCCCCGGGGCCAAAATTTGAATTATAGCTGGCCATGTAGGGTCCAGTTCTTTTAACCACTAGGCTAGGCTGTCGCCCCTTTTTTGTCTAGTTAGTTAAATCTGTTGTTTTATTTTATTCTTATTATTTTTTAAAAAGATCCTGGATCAGACTGGCAGGTGGTGTGGTGGGTAAAAGCATTGAATTCCTACATGGCCGACCACATGGTTTGAGTCCTGGACCTGGCAGCTGCTTTCTCATTTTCTCTTTCTCTCTCTATGTCTCTGGTCAAATTAAATAATAATAATAATAATAACAAATGGAACTAACTAAATAAATAATTAAGAAAAAGATTCTGGATCCTCCTAGATCCTGTCTTGCTTCAAGTTGGACTAGTTGGCTGTCTAGCATTTGGAATATTCCTTCTGAAGCCCCCCTCTCTCTTTGGTGACACAAATATTTCATATGTTATGAGAAAGTATGCATTAAAAGTAAAATTTTGGGGACCAGCAGTTAGCATAATGGCTATGTCGCTGGATTCCCATGTAGTCGAGTGTGGTTTGAGTCCCAGATCTGAGGGCTTAAACTCACACTGGGAGCGTGTGGGTGTGAGCCCAAGATCCCGAGAGGAGAATGGAGAAGGGATTGTGGTGTGGCCATCTCTCCGGGGGGTGATTTCTCACTTTCTGTATCTCTGTGTCTCTCTCTGTCTTTCTGGCGAGCGCACGAATCCTATAGCAAAAACCTCTCCAAAAAAAAATAAAAGTAAAATTTTGAGGACCAGCAGGTGGTGGCATGGAAGTTAAGGAGCTGGATCCCACATGGCCGATAGCGTAGTTTGAGTCCTGGTCTCAGTGGCTTGAAAATTACTCTGGGCATTTATGTGTGCATGCCCAAACTCATGAGAGGAGAATGGAGGGGAAGGAATTGTGGTATGGCTATTTGGGGTGATGTCTCACTTTCTCTCTCCTCTATCTCTCTGTTGCTCTCTGGTGAGCACATGTGCCCTATGGCAAAACGAAAAATAAAGAAAAGAAGTAAAATTTTGAGGTCTTATGTACCTGTTTGGTAGTTTGACTGGACATAGAATGTGGGTTGGACTTAATTTTTCTTCAAAACTTTTTTTTTTCTCTTGAGAGAGATTTTTGCTATAGGGTGCATGTGCTTGCCAGAGAGACAAAAATGAGGAATCATTCCCCAGGGGATGGCTATGCCACAATCCCTTCTCCTCTATACTCCCCTCAGGATCTTGGGCATGAATGCACACACGCCTGGCATGAGTTTAAACTGCCAGTTTCAGGATTTGAACTGCAGTTGACTATGTGGGAGTCCATTACGCCATCTGCTGATCCTTTCAAAACTTTTTTTTTTTTTTTTTAGAGGTTTTTGCTATAGGGCGCATGAGCTTGCCGGAAGGACATAGAGAGACAGAGAGACAGAAAGCAAGAAATCACTCCCCAGGGGGGATGGCCACTCCGCAATCCCGTCTCCTCCATTCTCCTCTTGGGATCTTGGGTACGCACGCGCACACATCCGACGTGAGTTTAAGCCACCGGGTCTGGGACTTGAACCATGGTCGACTACATGGGAGTCCAGCAACATAGCCATTACACTAACTGCTGGTCCCCAAACTTTTTTTTTCGAGAAATTTTTGCTATAGGGCGTGTGCTTACCAGTAAGAGAGAGACAGAGACAGAAAGCCAGAAATTGCCCCCCCAGAGGGCATGGCCATGCTGCAATCCCTTCTCCTCCGTTCTCCTCTTGGGGTCTTGGACATGCACGCACACACGTCTGTTGTGAATTTAAGCCATCGGATCCAGGACTTGAACCGTGGTTGACTACATGGGAGTCCCATGACATAGCCATTATGCTAACTGCTGGTCCTGATCCCTTCAAAACTTTTAAAACAGTTTATTATTTTATTCATGATACAGACCCATGTATGTGAGAGAGAGAAAGCACACTTGACAGGGACTTGTCATGCCACAGCCCCCCCTAGTCCTCAAGTGCACCAGGATCCTGGGCACGCACTCACACACACAAACACACACGCACGCACCCAGCATGTTTCAAGCTGACCTGGGGATCTGAACCCTCATTTGGCCAGATGGTTTCCAGCACTGTGGTTCAGCTCAGTACTGACTGTACCATCAGGCTGGGCCCCTCAAAACTTTGAAATCATTGTTCCAATGTCTGTGAGCTTCCAGAGTCATTCCTGAGAAGTCCGATATCATTTTAAGCCATAGTTTTTCTCTCCAGGGTCTAGCAGAATGCCTGAGACACGGTGATGCCTAGAGAGGAATCAGTGAATACCTACATGCTTGCCACATCCGGGGTGTCTGGTGAAGCTACGGTTACTGACAAGTTGACTCAGAACGTGTTGGTCTGCTGCGATAACTGCCCACCAGTGGATTCTGTTTTCTGTGTGTGCACGTGTGGGGAGCGGTTCTCACCTAATCTTATCCAGGATGGATAGATCCAACGGCTTCTCTGCTGGGCTCAGGAAGTTTCGGTCTGGTTAGTGCTGATTCCACTCCCCAGCCTACTGTAGAAACTCATCCCACGCCAGGCACTGGGCTGGTGAGCAGGCATTGGGATTTGCAGCACACATACACATGTGCTGGCGTGTTTTTCAAGCCGCTGAGGGCCAGGATTCAAATCATGTGGTCAGCCATGTGTAATCCAGTTCCCTTAACCACTGGACTATACGGCCAGCCCAGAATGACAAATTGAACGAGGTATTCAACCATGTATAGTGGTCTTAGAAATGGTCTGCAAATCCTCTACGGTCCTCTTTCTGAAAGATGGAGGCCAGTTCCCCTCCCCTAGAGTGTAGGCTGACTTACTCATTTTTTTTTTTTTTTTAAGAATGATCTGTGTGAGGGAACCAGCAGTTAGCGTAATGGCTGTGTCGCTGGACTCCCACGTAGTCGACCACGGTTCGTGTCCCGGACCCGGTGGCTTAAAACTCATGCCGGGCGCATGTGCATGTGCGTGCCCAAGATCCCGAGAGGAGAATGGAGAAGGGATTGCGGCGTGACCATCCCCCCTGGGGGGTGATTTCTCGCTTTCTGTCTCTATGTCTCTCTCTGTCTGTCTGGTGAGCGCACGTGCCCTATAGTGAAAAAAATCTCTCCAAAAAAAGAAAAAAAGAAAGAAAAAGACTGGATGTGATTAGGTCATGAAAGTGCTATGACTTTCTTCTCACTCCCTCTGGGGCCACTCACTCTGTCAGCTGCCATGGCGGGAGCAGTGGGGAGGCCAGGAGCAGAGGAATCAAGACTCTGCCAGTAGCATGTGAGCAGAGGGTTTTGGGAGCACATCTTCCGGCCCATCAAAGCCTTCAGACAACTTGACTGAGACCTCATAAGCAACCCTGAATAGCAATCACCCAGCTAAACTTGCCCCACATTCCTGGCCCTCAGAGGCCATGCGAGGTAGTCACTGTCCTTTGTTAAGTTGCTAAGTTTGGGGAGGATACGTAATACAGTCATAGATAAGTTGTATGCCACTTTCCAAATCACCCTCCAAACCACTGCCAAAGTAGATCTTTACAATGAGAATCTGATCAAGAATTTTCCTTCTGGGCTGGCCCCATAGCTAGTGGTTCAGGGAGCTGGCTCGCCCATGGCTGACCATGTGGTTTAAACCCCAGCCTGGGCAGCTTGAAAAACATGCTGGGACAGATCCACATGACAGCGCCTGTATCTGTGGAGGCCAGCCTGGGCGGGTAGGGTGGGTGGGAGGCTGTCTCTGCAGAGGGTCTTGGTGGGGGGGGATGGCACACTCCCCTTTTGCTGTCAGCGCCTTGTAGGGCCTGAATTGTGTATCTTGTGCATTAATGGTTTAAATCAAGTCAATATGTTTTCAAACAAAAAGTCAAAAGCCGCTGGAGAAAAGAGAGAGGAGTTTCTTTGCAATGCAGGGACAAGCTTGAGGAGGGCCATGCTTAATGTCATAGCACAAAGCCTTGCACTGAATTATGGGTGTTTTTGAACATTAGGTGAATTGCCAAGTGAAGACTGGGGACAGAAAGTCCTGTGGCTTCCAGGGCATGAGACTGGGCTGTGTCCTGGGTGACAGGGCGGGCTAGGAGGGGAGAACAGCTCCGAGTCTGACCGCCCAGAAGGGGGACCTGACGGGATCAGGTGCATTGCAGGAGATGGAGGCTGGGGACGTTTTACAGCCCAGAGGCCTTCTGCCCAAGTGGCACAATTGAATGTAATAGGGTGACAGGAAGGCCGTGGGGACCAAGATGAAAAGACATCTGGACAGAGCTTCTCCCACTCTGTGCGGTTAAGGGTCAATTGTTTTCTTTTTCATTTGTAATAAATTACAGGCTGTTTCTTTTATAAAACAATACAAAAGAATCGCTAGAAAAATGAAGTGAAAAGAGACATACAGAATACAAGCCCAACTGTTTTATTATTAGATTAAACAGATAAAAAATCATCCTGTCAAATTGTTAGCGAAGAATCTTGTTGCTTCCTAGTACTTTCTGAACTTCTCTCATCCTGAACGAAGCAGTCTGCAGAAGGGCAGGGGGCTGTGTTGGGAGCAGCCCTGTGCTAGAGAGAACCCTATGCTCAGAGTAAGAGGGCAGAGGGCGAGGCCTTGCAGCCATTGCATCCCAGAGCCCCCATTCTACCTGGGCAGCCTGCCATTTCCGGCTCATGCCTGCGTGTCTATATGACTGCCTTTCTGCTGGGAGGCAGAATGAGAACTCACGCTCGTGCGCTGGCTCTAGTTAAGGATTGTTCAGCACTCATTTGCCAGTGAAGCTGGGCCTGTGCAGAGAGGTCAGGGGAGAGGAAGGGAGCCTGACAGCAGCCTCAGTTTCTCCTCTGCAATTTGTCTGCCCCACCTCACTATGCACAAGCACCTGCCGGGGACCAGCCCATCCTCCTTGGAAGGTGGTCCAGGAAGCTCTGGGATGGGGGTATACTTGGGCAGCATCTTCCACCAAGTCGCTCATCAAAGTGCATCTTCTCCCTGGAAGAACTCAACTCCCTCAGGCCTGTTAGAGGAGCAGGGATGTTTTAGCACCCAATGTCAAGGCTCTTTCTGGGTTCGATCCTGAAGGCTGCCCAGCACAGTTCACTCCCTGGCCTCCCTGCTGTGGCGGGAGGAGGAGTTTCGTATTGATATAACCCTCTGTTGATCCCAGCCAGGCACTGTGCTCGCTCAGCACTTTCCACGCCTTATCTCATCTAATGCTCCCAATGACCCTGAGAGTGTATTGCTCCCGTTTTACAGATAAACAAACTGGGACTCAAAGTTTTAAGCAACCTGCCAAGGTCATACAGGTGGTTGGTGGCAGAGACAGAGACCTCTCCCCTCTCCACCAGTCTGTCTGGCTTGAAGCTCTTATCTGAGCCAGGGCACAGAGGCGTGGGGTGAGCAGGGAGGGAGGAGGGCCCAGAGAAGGAGCTGGTTGAGTCTGTCTAAAAGGAGCCAGGCCCAGGGCAGGGTATGGGAAATCAGGTTGCAGCATAACTGGGGCAGCCTTTCTGGTCTGCTCTGGGGAAGGGGCAGAGCTGAGAGAGACCACGTGTTCCCCATTTCCTTGCAAGAGGAAGGGGGCAGCCTCTCCCCTCTGCGTTTCACAATTGGTCTCTGAGCCCAAGATTGCACGGGGACCCTGGCAGGCACTGAGTGCTCAGTGCTGGCTCCTGCCAGGTGGTTGCAGACTCAGCCCCTCTCACTGGAGTCGTGAGGCCACAGGTAAGTCAGTGCTAGCTGATGATGTAACCCCTGGACAGTCCTCAGCCACCGAGCTGCAAAGTAATGATGTCCAACGTGGGGGCCAGTAGGTGGCGTGGTGGTTAAGGCCCTAGATCCTACAGGGCTGAGTGGGGCTTTAACATTTTTTTAAAGGCTAAAGAAAAACAGATGGGAGATGTGATCAGGCAAGGTTAATGGCCCCACACTGTCGCCCCCTTTCCCACCAAGTGCTGTCATAGGTTAGGTCTTCAGTCAGGTAGGAAGAAGGCAGCTGTAGAGCCCTACCATCTGGGCTGAGCGTGAGGTGAGGAAGGAGCCTGGGACTTTGCCCCCTCCTCCAGGCTGGGCTGAATCCACAGGGAGGGACACGAGAAGCCCCAGGCATGTTTGGATAACCTGGAGGGGAGTCCTGGCTGCAGGGCTGACATTCAGCCAGACAGCTCTGAACGTACTGAACTGCAGTCTTTACGGCAGGCAGAATTCTGAGAACTGCGCTGTCAGGTGATCTCGCGGAGTGAAGGCCTTGGAGGGCACTTATATAACCCTAGACGGCTCAGCCTACTGTGCACTGTCCGGGCAGTGGGCTGACCTACGCCGGGTCAGGGTGCGGTCCATCATCGACTGAAATGCCAGTGTGTGTCACATGCCTGTACTTCCGTTCCAGATGAGAAAGAGCTGCCCCTAAGCCCACTGTCCCAGCCTATTCTCATGACCCTCTGGATATTCCCTGATCCAGTAACCAAAAGGAGAACTCAGAGGCCTCCCAGGACCCTGACCCGGTGCCATTGTCCATTCTGGTTGCTGGGGCTGTGCTGCACAGGTTGTTAAAGTGTTTAAATAGCACTCCTGCTGAGACCCATTGCCTCAGTGGTGAGGAAGGAGCATTTCGGGGCAAGCGAGGGGCTGTGGGCTTGCATGCGATGACCGACAGGCTGAGTGACTTAGGACGATAGTCCTTGCACCTGTTTCTGTATCTGAGTGATGGGGGCAGTGGGCCCGGTGATCTCTGAAGGCTTTGACAGTATCCTGTGATTCCAGCCTTTTTCTCCAAAATAGGGTGTGCTTCTCTCTCTCTCTCTGTGTGTGTGTGTGCATGTGTGTGTTGTGGATGCGGGAGGACCTTGTGTTTCCTTGCCCTTGAGTCTCATTTCTAAGAGTGGCAAAGCCTGCTGACTTCCAGGCCTTCAGGCTGCAAAGTGAGGTGGCCCCTGGCTCAGGGCAAATGTGTGACAGCCTGAGCCTTATCTGGGAGCCCCTGGCCGATCCCCTCTCTACATCTCTCCTCCTGCCTCCAACCCTGCCATGCCCAATAGTGGGGACCTCGGACTGAGCCGAAGCCACACCACCTTCCCTCTGAGCTGTGCAGAGCTGCGAGGGCTCTAAGGGCTTCCCTTCCTCAGGGCATCTGCTTCCCTGTCCCAGCCCCAGTCCAGGCTAAGCCCTGCCAGATCCCTGCTTGGGAGCCCCCCAGTGACAATAAGGACAGGATGTTCCAAGCTTGGATGAGGGTGGCATCTGTCACGTCTGGAGGGGAAGAGGTTTAGAACGAAGTAGGCAGCCCTCTCCCCACCCCTGGGGATGGATGGGTGCTCTGGGGAACCCTAGTGCCTACCACATTCCCTGAGTGCAGGGAAGGCCAGACCTTCCACCAAGACCCCTAAGTCCTGTGCGGAGGTGGCACGACCCCGTCTGTGCTCTCTCGGGGTCAGGCTCTGTGAGTTGCACCTAGAGAGGAAGGGAGCCTGACGTCCCTCTGGGTGAGGGAGCTTGCCCTCCCTTAAAGTGGTCTGCAGATTAACCACATCATTGGGGTGCTGTAAAATGCAAATTCCTGCACCCTAAAATGGGAGGGACAGAGCTCACTCCTGACTTTTAACAAGAACACTTCCCCCTGCAGTTCTGTGCACAGACGTTTGAGACATGCTCTGATAAGCTGTCTGATCTTCTCCCCCAGGACATCCTGACAGAGGTCTCTTTGAAGCTACAATTTGGAATTCTCCAGAATTAGAGATCATGGAGCTGTTAACGTCTCCAGGGCCTGCTGCCTCCTGCTTCTCTGAGCTCAGAGCCACCCGGTGCCTGGCAGCACTGCCTTTAGCACTGGCCCTTTCCCTTCAGGGCCTGCCCAGCTGTGGCTCCTGCAGGAGGAGCTCCTGGCCCCCTGTGGAGAGCCACCACCCCTTCCATGCAGTCCCTAAGTACTCAGCTCCTTATTACAGGCTGGCTCCACTTCTGGGCTCTGAAATTGCCTACCGGGTGTTCTTCCCAACGATGATTATAAGGTTCTTTAAGGACAAACTCCTAATCCTGGGCTCATAGGCCCCTGGGAGGTCCGTGGGTGGGCTGCAGAGGGCCTAGAATTATATGCAGAACTATGTGTGTGTGTGTTGCACTTTTCTGGGGGCAAGTTCATTACTTTCATCAGATTCTCTAACTTGTCTGACCTAAGACATACCGTGAGACTGGCTTAGTCTGTTTCCTGCTGCTGTAACTGAATACCACAGACTGGGTAATTTATACAGAATAAAGGCGTGTGCAGCACATGGTCCTAGAGGTCCGAGGTTAAGGGGCTGCCTCTACTGAGGGTCATCTTGTTGGTTGGGGCTCCCCAAAAAGTCTTAAGGTGGCGAAGAGCATCACATGGCCAGAGGGTACGAGTTCCCGGTATTCAGTCACGAGGGCCCTGCCCGAGGACCTTATCTAGGTCTAATTACCTCCCAAAGACCCCCCCTCTTTCTACCACAGCTGGATTAAGTTTCTCCCCTCTTAATACTTCACAGAACAGTTACATTTCAACACGAATTTCAGTGAGGCCATTCAAGCCATAGGGACTTTCTCACAGATTATCTTTGTTCCCCGCAGTGGCCACTCACCATTGGACGGTCCCCAAATGTTCCATTGGAGAGCGCTGGCCTCTGCCCTTGGATGCACCAGCAGAGGAGTGCCGTCTCCATGGCAAGGCGAGGACAGGATTTCTTCCTTTAAAACCTCCCCAGGGCCAGGAGCGTGGTGGTTAAAGACACTGGACTTCCATATGGCGTACCACGGTCTGAGTCCCGGACCTGGTGGCTTGTTTTTTCAGTTTCTCTCTCTCTCTCTCTGTGCCCCTCTCTGGTCAAACTAAAATAAATAAATAAAGTTAAATAAAATTAATTTTTTTCTGAGAGGCTTTCTCTATAGGGCACGTGCACTCACCAGAAAGACAGAGAGAGACAGAGAGACAGAAAGCAAGAAATCACCCCCCAGGGGGATGGCCACGCTGCAATCCCTTTTCCTCTGTTCTTCTCTCGGGATCTTGGACACACATACACACGCACCTAGTGTGAGTTTTAAGCCACCAGGTCCAGGATGCGAACAGCGGTCGACTACATGGGAGTCCAGCAACAGCCATTACGCTAACTGCTGATCCCAAATAAAATAATTTTTTTTCTGAGAGGCTTTTGCTATAGGGCACGTGCACTCAACAGACAAGAGAGAGACAGAGAGATAGAAAGTGAGAAATCACCCCCTTCTCTTCCATTCTCCTCTCAGGATCTTGAGCATGCACACACATGCGCCTGGAGTGAGTTTAAGCCACTGGGTCTGGGACTTGAACCGTGGTCGACTACATGGGAGTTCAGCGACATAGCCATTATGCCAACTGCTGGTCCCTAAAATAATTCTTTAAAAAAAATCCCCCTGGGACCAGCAGGTGACATAGTGGTTATGGTGCTGGACTCCCACATTGTTGACCATGGTTTCAGTCCTGGAGCTGGTGGCTTGAAGCTCACAACAGGCACATGTACATGTGTGCCTAGAATCCCGAGAGGAGAATAGAGGAAAAGGGATTACAGTGTGGCCATCCCTTCTGGGGGATGATTTCTCACTTTCTGTCTCTCCATATCTCTCTGTCTCTCTGGTGAGCACATGTGTCCTATATAAAAAATCTCTTAAAAAGCAAACAAAACAAACAAACAAAAACACTAAACCCCTGCCATGCTGTGAGTTCAGACACCATGCCTGGGCTTGGTAGTGTCACACTCTCTTCACCCAAGGTGAGTAGGGGGCAGTAGTGAGTGAGTGGACAAGAAAGAGCCCTCATCCCACCCCGAGGCAGCGTTTCAATGTAAGTCACCACCAGGCAGAGAGAACAATTTGCCAACCTACTTGCTTTCTGCTCCAGCTTCCCCCACCGCATGAGAACGGGTGCCATTCTCACCTCAGTTCCAGAAGCTGCTGCCTGGTGAAGGAATTAATGCAAGACAGGGCCGATGGGCAGACAGGGCGGCAGGGGTGCTGGGAGGCATGGGTGTCTGTCATGTGCACTTTCAGATCTGGTTATGTCTGAGGGGTGGGGAGGAATAGGACATGGATGAATCCATGGCCGGGATGCTCTCAGGCAGGAGCGGACCTCCTGGTGAGTCTTGGCTGGGTGGAGGAGTTTGGAGGGAGCCTTGGAGGTGGCTGGGCTGTGGGTGAGAAGCAGAGTCCCCGTTTAAGCCTGAGAGTCTGTGCATGGGGGGCAGGCAGGCCTCCTAAACACCTGTGTGTGGGGGCAGTGGAGGCTAGCGGGGGAGGAGACTCGGCATCAGAGGGAGGAGCAGGCCCTGGGCCCTTGCAGTAAGGGCGTGATTCTGGATCCTGCCCAGGTGCTGCCAAGACTAGGAGGTGATGCGGCAAAGTAAATAAGGAGGGAACTTTCTCATTAAAGATTGGCATAGTGGTTAAGGTGCTGGACTCCCACATGGTTGATAGCGGTTCCAGACCTGATGGCTTAAAAATCATACCTGGTACATGTGTGCACATGCCCAAAATCCCAGGAGGAGAGTGGAGGAGAAGGGATTGTGGTGTGGCCATCCCCCCGGGGGTGATTTCTCAGTTTCTCTCTCCCTGTCTCTCTCTGGAAAGTACACATGCCCTATAGCAAACCCCCTCCCCCCCATGTCGGCCAGGCAGTGGAGCAGTGGTAAGAGAGCTGGATCTAGATGTGACCCCAGGACCCTCCTGAGCCAGTGGGTCCAGACACAGACATGTCCACAAACTGGGTTGGCTGAGACCGGTGGCTGGCGGTGTGTCCTGTTGGGCGCCTTTCTCTTTATTTTTCATGGAAGACAAACAATTTTTTAAAAAATAATTTTTTTAGAGAGGTTTTTGCTATAGGGGGCGTGTGCTTGCCAGAGAGACAGAGACAGAGAGACAGAAAGCAAGAAATCACCCCCCCGGGGGATGGCCACGCCGCAATCCCTTCTCCTCTACTCTCCTCTCGGGATTTTGGGCACACATGCTTGACATGAGTTTTAAGCCACTGGGTCCGAGACTCAAACCATGGTCAACTCCACGGGAGTCCAGTGACATAACCATTACACCGTTCACTGGTCCCAGTGAATAAACTTTTAAAAACATTGTGTCACTGGGGGCACAGGTTGCCCTGGTTTGGGCTGTTGACAGTGAAGCACAGCAAGGGGAAGGAGAGAGGCTTTCTCCTCCTGGGATAGTGAGGGACCTCGGGATGGCCACAACTGGGAGGCATGGGGACCACTGAGCAGGACAGGATGGGGGTCAAGGGTGCCCCTGAGTGGTGCAGGGGGAGAGTTGACCCCAGGTACCTCATGGTGAGAAAGCGTCGTGCTCCGTGAGCACATGGGAGAGGCCCTGAAGTTTCCAGTTCCTGATAAGGCGTGGGGGCCACTTTACAGAGACCTCTGGGCCCTGCATCCCTATCTAGGGACAAGTATCAAGGGAACCAGGTGACAGATGGCAGTGGTCAGCAGGTCCCCATGAAGCCAGATGTGTGGGGTTCAGACCTTGATGTCGGGGCTAAGGGTGAGACCTCAGGCAGGAGTGAGGGTCAGAACAGGAGAGGAGGAAAACTCTGCTTGGGAAGACTGAGTCCCCAGAAAGCAGGTGGTGGGAGTAGGGTAGGATGGGGGTGAGGGCGCTGGAAGGACTGATGGCTCCTCCGCCTTGGGTGGGAGCAGCCACATTGCACCCCAGGGCAAGCAGAGAGGACTGGGCTTGGCTGCCAGACACCCAGAGGGGCTGCAGGTGTGGGCACCAAGCTCTCCAAGGATGCCCCCGATTCTTCGAGGTTTGGAGGTTTGTGTTCTTCAGTTTTCACAGCTTGGGGAACCACGAGCTAAGTCAGGGTACCATGGATTCTTCTACAATAGAAGGCAACTGGACTCTGGCCCTCAGGGTGTCACCTGTTCTCTGTGTGAGACCCTGCTGATGCAGGGAGACAGTGTCGGCAGACTGAGCACTTCCCGTGAGCAGGCATGGCTGAGCCCCTCAGGATCCCTGGTGGAGTGGAGTCACAGCCACCGCGGAAAGGGGCTATTTGGTCCCCCCTTCACAGGGGAGAGTTACAGTGCTTTGTCCAAGCTCACGTGGCAGGAAGCAGTAAAGTTAGGACTGGTTCCAGAGGTCCCCACTGTTCTGGACGCGCCTACACTGTCTGGGAGGGTTTCGGGGCCTTTGTCATGAGCTGCCGACCTCGCCCACCATCTCAGGGTCTCCGTGTCCCCGTGGGCAAAATTGGGAAGGTGTGTAGGACGAGAGCAGTGAAAGAGAGATGGAAACTGCCTTGGCAGGCTTCTGAAAACCGCCAGGGGCCTTGGCAGTACCGGGAGCCCCGGAGCCACGCGGAGCTGGGAGAAGGCGCAAGGAAGGCCTTGGGGCACAGCCTGGCCAGTTCCTCCACCCTTTCCGCCCCCCTGGCTCCTGCTGCTGCCCGTGCCATTGACTCCCTCCCTCACCCTTTCTCTGGGCTTTACAGGAGGTTGAAAGCCCACCAGCCTCTCCGGAGAGTGAGGGATGAAATTCTCACTGGCCTCCTGGGGAAATTTCCATTTTAATGGAGAGGGGGTTAGCAGCCTGGATCCTGGGAGAGGCAGAGGAAGGAGTCTCTCCTGGCCCAGTTCTGAGTCTCAGGGACGGAAGGTGGAGGTTGAGGACGCCCTGCCAGGAGCCCCTGGCTCCTGCCTGGCCAGTCTCCGCAGACTGCAGACCTGGCTTCCGAAAGCTAGGCCAGGGTCCAGGCCCCAGGCAGATGATTGAGGCTCCACCCTCCCCACCCCAACACACACTGGGTGGGGGCCCCTTTCCACCCTCTTCCGTGGAGCAGGAGCCGCCCCAGCCCTGGCCTGGGACCCACGGCCTGCTCTTCTTTTGCCAGATCATTTCCCAGCACTGCCTGACCCTGGACCAGCTGTGAGGGCCGGGGATGGCTGCGGGAGCAGCTGGCTGGCATCTGGGAGGTGGAAACTGTGAGTCTACCCGCCCATGCAGGCTGGCTCAGGCTCTGAGGAGGAAGCAGGCAGGCCCGCAGCCTTCTGGAGGAATTTCTGAATTAGCTACTGGCTAGAAACCAGCAGCCACAGCAGGCCTGGGCCGGCCCTGCTGGCGGAGGTCCTGAGAGCCTTCCTCAGGCCCCAGGCCCACCACTTCCCAACCTTCCCCTAACATCACCCCCTGCTGGCCTACCTTGGAACTGCAGCCTCCTCCACTAAGTTCCAGCCACAGAGAACATGGCTTGCCCCATTGCCCACGGAGTGGAAGAGGGGAGAGGGGGCAGCCCTGCTTTTGTTCTGACTCACCTGCAACCTGTTGAGATCATGCTCTTTCTCCTGTCTCCTGTAAACACGCATTCCACCTGGCCAGATTCAAGGAGGCCTTGCCAGATTCATCACTGGAATAGTCGAGGGCAGGCTGGGGTGGGGGCTTGGGAAGGGGGAAGTGGGGGGATTGAGGTGGGAGTTAGGGCGGGGGAGGCCTGGCTCTTCCCATATGTTCCAGGTTTGTTTTCACACAGGAAGGTCTGCAGTGTGTAAATGTCCTCACTCCCACGTAGGACCAACTATGTAATTGATGGGGCTA